GTGGGTTTAAATCTTTCTTCCTGAGGTATTATAGTTAAAACAAATTAATTTCTTTATCTTATAAATAGCTAGTTGTCTAATAGAAAGTTTCAAACACTAACAGATAAGGTTATCATATTTTTCTGGTAATTTGAGAATTGAGACCTAACTGTATACAAACTTGGAGTAGTTCATTTTAAATTAGTCAGAGAAAACAGATTAGAAAAAAAAACTTGTGAAAACTAAGACTTCCTGTTGAACACTTCATGATTAGCAGTCTTATTGAATAGATGTGTTTTCGTTCACAATTTGATTCACTTATCCAAAAGTTGTTATTTTCTTAATTTTTCTGCTTTAATTTTATTGTTCTTTATCCTTGTTCCAAACTATCATTCCATAAAGTTTGGTTGAAATTGGCCCAGTAACCTAGGAATAGTTTGATAATGGACAGATAAACACACAGATTTTGTGCTTGTATGTGTGTGTCTATATATATATATATATATATAATATAGATTATTATAATTTCTTTCATTGCCAAAAATTTTGTTTATTTGTTTTTGAGTGAAAAGCTACTCAATGTGCTATTTCTTTTCTGCCCTACCTGGGTACCAAAACTTGAATTTTAGCATTATAACCATTCAAACTTACTGCTGAGCCACCAGTGGGTTTAAATCTTTCTTCCTGAGGTATTATAGTTAAAACAAATTAATTTCTTTATCTTATAAATAGCTAGTTGTCTAATAGAAAGTTTCAAACACTAACAGATAAGGTTATCATATTTTTCTGGTAATTTGAGAATTGAGACCTAACTGTATACAAACTTGGAGTAGTTCATTTTAAATTAGTCAGAGAAAACAGATTAGAAAAAAAAACTTGTGAAAACTAAGACTTCCTGTTGAACACTTCATGATTAGCAGTCTTATTGAATAGATGTGTTTTCGTTCACAATTTGATTCACTTATCCAAAAGTTGTTATTTTCTTAATTTTTCTGCTTTAATTTTATTGTTCTTTATCCTTTTCATTCTCTTTTCTGGAGAGTTACGAATTATTTATCTGATCTCCTCTTTCAATTTCGTGAGTTATGCACTCAAGTTTCAGGTGGTCACTACTACAACTGCAGCAGCAAAATTACCGACCACTTCAAGTGGGTCAGACCCACAATTTTGATTATTTGGGTATGTTCTGTCCTTATCTTCCTTTCCTATGTTCCACTCCTGCTCTTCTCGAGAACTAACCTTTAGGTCATTATTTTAGTGTTTCCTTCTTCCCTGGTTATTGGGGCTCATCTGAGTCATTTTGGGGAGCATTTGTGTTCAGGGTTCGTTTTGCCTCAAACTCCAACATACTGTGGACTATCATGCCTATGATTATCATCCTTCCAACTTCCCTTATTTGAACTCACAGCATTAGTGTTGCTTCTTTCCTCATGAGGATCAAACCCCTGATAATTTTATTACCTTTTCCCATATTTGTCTCACCCTAACCACCCTTTTCAGGTCAGGGCTGGTGGGGGCCAGACTCCTACACTTTGCCCATGTTTGGAGTTCCTTGATGATCAATCCATGGGTTCTGAAAGTTGTTTCAGCAAGTCTGGTCCTCTACTTCTATTCATTTCCCCTCCTTTATCTCATTTCCCTCTCCTCGGGATTCCAATTTTTGCCCTTCTGATTCATTTCAGGGACCTTTATTTCCACCATTCTATGGATGAATGGCTGCTTCTTGCCTACTCAAAAGATGACTCGGTTCTACGTCCTCAGTTTTTTTCTCCAGGACATTGGCGTGTCACAGTGGAGCAATTTAAACTTACAATTTTGGGTTCATTTTGGGATGTTTTTCAACTCTCTCCTCCGATGGGCCTTACCTGCTTCACTTCAGTTGTGAGCTATGAAATGTCTCATATGCAGCATTTCATTCTCTCCTTCTACTGCGTGAGAGTTTCAGCCCTCATTGCTCTTGGTCTCATACTCATGCATCATCATCAGTGTGTTTTGATAGACCACTGGAGCCTTGTTTGAGACCCATTAGATGCCTCTCTTACCCTTACCCTCCTTTACAGACCGATTTCGACTAGTGTTTGGATTGGAACAATACTACTAATGGTGTTCCTCTTCCTCCTCCTCATCCAGAATGTCACCTTTTACAGATGTTTATTTTTCCAGTGTGGTGGTGTATCTCGACTCTCAGGAGGTTTCAGGGCAATGGTATCTTTCAGAGTTCTCTCTCCATATCAATCTTGGAACGTCTTGCTGTTTGTTGGGTTTTCCTTTACTTCATGCTGGCTCCTAGAGTCTGGTTGGGGATGGTTCACTCAGGTGTTTCTATGGTACTCTCATACATCACTGGTTAAGGGGTACTCAGTTGACAAACCTCTGTTTTCTCACATTGGATCTTCTGTGTAGTGTTCTGCTGCTGGTTACTTAGGGGGGGAGGGGCTCACATGGGATTTCTACTGCTGCACTGGTTTTTGGTGTCACCTCCCTTTATCTTTCTTTATATTTGACACTCCTCCATGAGCCACATTCCAGCATGCATCCTCTGTCTGTACCTGCAATCTGTATTCATGCATGGCTGTTTACCTATATACTTGGTACATGTACTGCTTTTGGTCTGTCATAAGGGGTTATAGTCCTTCCATTCTATGGTTCCTCACATACCATCCTTTTTGACTCTTTTTTTTTTTTTTTGAGTGGGGCCTTTTGGTTTTCTCTGTTGTGGGCTATATGGTGAAATTATCTGCCACTTTTCAGTTTTTCCTACTTTGCTTGTGTTTTGCAGTTGCTAGTCTTATCCATGTTGTTTAATTTCTTCCATTTTTTCCATCCTCCCTGCCCTGTTTTTCTTATTTATTAGAAACTCTGTGTGATCCTCCGTGTTCTTCCCCATCCTCCATTGGACTTTTTGCCTTTGTGTTCTATAAAATACCTTTCCTTGAAGTCCCTGTTCCTGATTGTTCTTTTATGACCAAGACTTTGGATGTTCATGAGGGTACTGCTCCCTTCCCTCTTTTTCCCACCTTTATGACCATTCTAATCCCACATGCCTCCTTTGCCCAGTCAAAGTTTTTTGATGGTATATGACATGTTGTACTGCTCCCTTCCATGGTTCCTGAGTCTGTTTGTTTCTTCCGTCAAATTCTCATCATCAGTGCTGTAACTGTTTATTTGTGGGTGGTAAGTACTCCATTTTCTTTTTCTTTGCAGGAGCCTTTATCACATATTTGAATCTCATTCTGCGGTGACTGTTGACTAAACAGATATACTTAACCGTAAATGTGCAATGTAAGGCCTGTAATCACATACCACGCTAGATGACTGAAGTTGAGGCTCTTCCTACTCTGGACCTGATGTACAATTCCAGATGATGCCAGATGTTGGTTGATCGACTCCAACATTGTGTCCTCTATGCATCAAAATAGAACATTATAACATGTCACAAGGTCATGTTAGACATACTGTTGAAATGGGGTGTTTCACAGGACTGCTTGTAGGTATCTTTGTGGTCTGTTGCTTCATATACATGTTCTTCCCAAACCATACACTCATGGATTGATATGAGTAAAGCAGATTTGAAGATCTGTGTCATTGATGCTCTTCCTACAGTGGACCTGATGCACAATTCCAGACACCGCCAGGTGTATGTTGATCGACTATGTCAACTTGATCACTCTGCTTTTCAAAATAAGGTATCCTGGTCACCCATTGCACTGTTTCTGGTGCTTTGGTCCTCTGGGCTCTCCAATGCTTTTTCTCACATCCTTCTAGAGGAGTATGGGAGTCCTTGCCACTTAACATTGTTAATATAAAGAATATTATATTTATTATAAAAAGTTTCAAAAGTCTTGTTTGATTCCACCAAAGTTAAATGAGCATGTTTGACTGCAGTTTTTATTACATTTTACAGTTTATTTTAGAGATTTCATATAAGAGATATGTAAAAATAGTATTTCAGATCTTTCAATCATTTATCGATTATCTCTTCATGTAGAATCAACAGCTTACAAAAGTTTGTTGGGGAACTCCACAACTCAGAAGACTATACAGATTGTTATAGAAAATGACAGTGATAGTAGTGATGACATAGAAAATGTAATAGCTGCTGCTGTTGCCAAAAATAAAAATACATTCAATAAGTGAGTTGAAATATTGATTATAAAACCTGAAAATATTAAGAGAGCTAAGTTCAAAAGTTTTTTGAATGTTTAATTTTATTGAAATAAAAAATTATGAATGTAGATATGGAAGAAAATGTTACTTTTTTGTAGCATTGCAGTAATGCGACTATTTGAACAACTGCATATTTAATAGACATTTGACTTGGTAAAACATGGATGAAACTTGTAAAAACAGTTGCATGGATTAAATTGTTCAGAATTAGTATATAATAATGAGAGGTAAACCCATCATTTTATATATAGCTTCACAAAAAATTGTTTTTAGACTCATAAATAGTGTATTTTTATTGGAACATTGAATATAATCACCATTTAAATTATTTTGAATTAAGTTTATTTTTAAAAATACTTGTGTATTTGATTTTAAGTTTAGTCTTGTTTTGAGTTCTATGACACACTTATATCTAAATGAGTTAGATGCATACCATGAAAATCAGTTGTCACATTAAGTGAAACATTGAATATCAAATTTGTGTTTTCAGTAATGCTAACATGAAAGAGTTGTCTCACTTGTGTCAACCTAAAGATAAGCAGGGGAAAATGCAAGATGAAAACATCAAAGGTGATGATTCTACTCAACCAAAAGAAAGATCCAGATCAATTAGTTTACAGTAAGTTCAGTTAAGAGACTAGAGAGGATAAATTATGAAAGTCTTTTAAATTTATAATGTATTATAATACAGCTAGTTATAAGTTAGTTTAAATATTTTTCAAAAGTGGGCATGTAATTATTGCCCAAACTCACCCTGTATTTTTGGAGCTCAGAAGTGTTTCTATTGTAACCCATGCAGTGTATAATTATCAAGTCAAACCTTTTTAGTTATTTAAAGTAAGAATTAGGTCAACATTTCATTACATCTTCTTTTATGCAGCAGGAAACTACTTCTGTTTTCTTTGTACCAAATAAAAATTACAATATTTGGAACAATGAAACATAAAGCTATTAGTTACCTAAAGCTTGACTTGTTTCAGTAACACAGTTATTGTAATCAGGACTGAAGATGGTAGCTGTGTTATTTTCCAGAACTTACAACCATGTAACTGCTTTTTTGTCCCCCATGTTTTAAGAATTTATAGATTTCTTTATTTCAGTATTTGAGAAATTTATTTTTGCACAACATTGTTTTTTAATCATATCCTAAGATCAGCATTTACATTATTGAATACATATAATCTTGTAAAGTTTTCTCTGGATACGATACTGAAGGTTCACAGGCTTACCTAAGTTTATTTGGTAAATAGAGAAGCTATAAGTATATTTACTCTTTATTTTTTCATGTTTTTTATACATTTTCTTAGTAATAAACTTGTTAAAAATAAACTGTTTAAAAAGTAGTTTTATCGTAACTGTTCTATAGTTAAGATTTTGATAGTTTTTTTTAATTGAGTTTCTAATTTATATGGTAGTATTATATTTGGCATGAAATTTCATTATCTATTGTCATAATAGTTTATATTTAAAAATATTAATTTTATCTGTCTTCCTAGAGAGTGATCTTTCATAGTTTGGCAATCTTGATGAGTGTAAATTTCATTGTTATGTAATCTTGTTACAGACCCATTTAAAAAGTTCCCAGTGTATATTGCCAGTGATACAGAGGTATGTCTGCAGTTACAACCCTAGAACTAATGTTTCAATTCCTGTGGTGGGCAGAGCACAGATAGCCCATCGTGTAGTTTTGTGCTTAACTTACAAACTAACCAAACCATTATATATTTTTCTTTATATATATATATATAAAACTTTTAATAGTTATGATTTGTTATAAACTTAAATACATAAGCTTTGCTTTTAAAACTGCAAGAAATGGCAATGTTGTCTATCTCCTGATAAGAGCAAAAAAATTGAGTTATCAGGTTTATCTTTTAATGACTTTTTCTATTCATTTTTTAATCTTTTATGATTTTTTTTTTCAGGAAAACTGAAAGAGTTGAAAAAAAACTAAAAAGTAGTTTAAACAAAGGTATTTAGACTTTACATATAATATCAAGTTTTCTTAAATATTTTTGTACTAGTGGTCTAAGTTAATAGATCTTCATCTCAAGTATACTTTTGAATTGTTTTTTTTTTTACCAAACACAATTATAATTGTTTATTTAACCCTATTGCCTGGAGCATCCGTTTCTGTACATATGTTACCATATTTTAGTGGCAATATTCAAAATGTAATTAAACTACTTTATTTTCATGGTATACCAATAGATATAGCATAAAAATGTAGCTAATAATACATATTTTAATAGTATATGAGTTTTAAGTTCTTACTTTTATAAAACAAAACAAAAAAAAACTAGAATTTCCCCTAGTGTGAGAATTGTGACATTTAATCTCTAGGCATCCCTTCTTCTATAGTTTATTTACCAACCCTCCAAGAAGTACAATATTTAGCGCCAATTATTTATTATGATATTGTCATTACTCAGGCAATGCATAATATTTATAACCTTCAATCATATTTGGTTACAGATCCATGAAAGAGACTCCTCTTGTCATGCCCATCTGTCACTTCCTCTCTTTCAAAACTGCAAATAGTTCTTTCTGCTATTCAATACTATATTACTTATAACCATTAGAAAGCCAAAGTTTTCATGATGTATAATATTGTGTTGTTTCCTGTAAAGAGAATTGTCAATTTTGCTGTTAGTTCAAGCTTGATTCCCACAGGAAACACATCGATGTGCTTAGATGAAGTTTTTACAGAAATTGTTGCATAGTTCGAAAGCTAGAAAAGTTGTGATAGTTATGGGACATTATCTTCTTTCTGCACGTTATTATATCATATTCCTTGGTGCATTATTTAGTGCAGTACTACTATTAGTATTAAAAAAAAATGGAGGGGTTAAGTGTCGTCAATAGCAGAAAAAAGAAAACCCCAGGTAAGCACTTTTTTCCCTTCTTTTCATATGTATTCTTTATTATTATAAAAGTAACTAAAATGTAGAAATAGGAAACTTTTTATCTCAGTTAAGGTTGGACTAGGTGAAATAAAGAATATAATATAATTTTTTCATGAAGTATGCTCATGAGTAGCTTGTTCATAATGTAATTCAATAGTGTAATGTGAGCTGTGCATTCACCAAGGGATTTACAACTTATAATAACGTGAATCCTAGTTAGACAGGGTTCAAAGGGCCCTAGCCACTCTGCACCTGGTGGTCCTATTATTTTTGTTATTTTTCTTGGGGTTCTTCCATGTTTCCACCCTTTTGGCAACACGTTACTAAAGGGTGTTACATATTAGAATTTCGAATAGCCCGAAGCCGAGTTAAATAATTTAAATTCAGTAGTTAAATTGTACTTTGGATTTAGTATTTAAATAAATACTGATATTTAGTCAGTTTGTAATATTTGCCAACAAGATTTACACACACACAGCTTTCGTTTTTAACACAAATACGTTTTAATATACACACAACAGTACAATTTAC